TTAGAAATTTGCAACCAGAAAACTATTCGATTTGTATTCGTGGTATTTATAATGACGAGGAATTTGATTTAAATCATATCAAAGACGGAGTACATCGAAATTAAATACTACATTTAGTAAGGAATTATAAGCCGAATAAAATAAAAACATCTGCTCTGAAGATAACGATAGTGTTGACAAATCAACTTTTAATCACAAATTGACAAATCCAGTTCATTGCGCGCCGGGACGTCTTCCCCCCCCCCCGCGCAGAGCAGCGTGAAATTGATAAACAGATTTCGGAACGGTTAGATAAACAAAGAATATGCCTTTATCCATTTTTTGTAGCAATTCGTTTTTTGTTTGATGGACATCGAAACATACTTTCGTTTTCTAGATCCTTTGGGAGCTCCAGCATCGGAAATTCTATTTGACATAATCAAAAGTTCAAGCTTACTTTTAGAAAATTGCTCTTACAGTCTGCAAAAAATAATAAGCCGGATCCAATTCGAAGATTAAGGAACAACGCAATCATCGACATTAACTGAAATAGATAATTAGATAATTTTAGTTTATACCGTCCGTTATACATTAAACGCGCACGCGAAATCGTATTCTGCACTTGCGCAGACGCATATGCGCAGTCGTAAATGTCTTGGGCGCACGAGTAAAACGCCTATGCGCATGCGTCAATGCGGCGCATGCGCAGAAAGATTTTAGCTTTGAGGTCCGGATTATAGATCATTCCGGATTACGGGTGTCCGAATTAACGACTTTTGACTGTACATTATATAGACAAAAAGCAGGAAATTTAGAGCCAGTTTTACACAGACTCAAAAGAAGTGAAATTCAATGCTAATATATTTCAAAATATCCCATAAATATGCAAAATAAGAATTAAAGAAAGAGTAATTCTATCAAATCTGATATCTGATAATCTGATCAAGAGGAGGATACATCAGACTCAATTACAACTTGAAAACCACTGCATTTCTATATCCAAAATTGATAGAGGAATTATTCTAAAGTATTTAATTATAACAGTTCATCTGAAAATTTAGAAGTCCTCCCCAATGCAGAGTCAAAATTCCAATGTCAAATCAAGCAAATGAATTAAATTAGACATTTTTTGCTAAATTTAAATTTGGAATATTTTAACCCTGTAAATTTTTTTATAATAGTATATTTATATAGTATGAATTTTTTATCTGAAAGCTTAAATAGAGAAGGATAAAGAAGGATGCTTTAGAATGTTTTATAGTTTTCTTTTTCATGTATTTTTTCTATTTCTGTATGTTTTTCTTGACTTTGCTGTTATTAACATAGGGCCTACTATATTCCCGTCATCATGATTAGCCTATGACATGAAGACTTTTTACCTTTTTTTTTTTACTTTTTCTTTGTTTCTTTTCTTCCTTTTCTTTACACATTCCTTTTATAAAAGAATCTTACAAGCATTGAATTCACCTTTTACGAGATTTCTATATCGCCATCAGCAATTTGTTTTGCCAGTGAAGCCCAAATGGCTACTCTTAGTGTCTTTTGAATCTAATGTTTCTGTTCTTTGTTTCGAAATTTGTAGTTTGATTGCAGTACTCTTGTTTAATTTCTTGTAGGTTTTGTATTTGTACATTTTAATTTCATTTTTTTTTTCAATTTTAATCTTACGTTATGTGATAAAATGTACCTATTTACTTTATTCAAATTTGAAACTTTTTTTATTTGGATCTGCTTTATATTTTTCACTACCAGATTGCTTCTTCATCCTGTCAGTAAGCTTTAAATTTTCATGTTCTCGTTTTATTATTTCTATTTTATATTTCAGTTTTAAATTTGGTAAAAAAATGTTTAATTTAATTCTTTTGCTTGATTTGACATTGGAGTTTTTACCCTGCATCGGGGAGGACTTCAAAATTTTTAGATGAACTGTTAGAATTAAATACTTTAGAATAGTTTACCAGCTAATTTTGGATACAAAAACGTAGTGGTTTTCTAATGGAAGGGGAACTGTAATTGAGTCTGATGTATACTCCTCTTCATAACATTATGTGGACGTTTGTTAGTGAGGCAAAAACCCATTTGAGCATTCTGATAGTTGATATATCTTCTCAAATGAAAAGAAACTTAAAATAATAATAATAATATCAGTAAGCTGGAGAGTCATGTTGTAGCTTGCAAATATTACATCATTCGCAATAGCAATAAGTGATAAATATTTCTACAACTGAAAGGTGTAGCTTTTGCACAACTCACTGACTATCTCAGATATTAGCAAGCTAAATAAAATGATTCTGTTTTTTTTTTATTACAATCGTTAATTGAATGAAAGAGCAGTATGGGATATTCTGAACTTTCTTATATATGGACATTGTCACAGATGGCTTGTTACTTCTATGCCTGTCCTTAATATTTGAGAATGGAGAAAGCATTTTCTAAGGTAATATGCTGTTGTAAATATGTTAATCCTTTTTTATTGTACTTTTTTTTTGTTATTGTAGTAGTATTTTGTATTGTTTTATACATTTATTTGTTTAATGCTTTTAGAATGGTAATTTTATGTTTTATTTTTGTTTAATTCTAATTTGTGTTCATATATCTTGTATTTAAATGTTTGTCACATGGAATTTTGGATTAATATCAAGTGCAACAACTTTGGAATTGTAAAAATAACTCAATTAGATGGTGAGATGTAGCCAATTTTATTTTCAAGGAGCCTTGAAAACAATTTTTCACTGAGTTTGTGACATTTATTGATTTCTTGTTAACTTAGCAACTTTCTGTAAGATTTGTGAAGACACATTTTCGAAGCTCTGTAACTAATTTTTCCAGAAGTTTCCTAAGCAACCATGCTGCAGGATATAAGTACAAGTCGGAAAGCTAGGGAATTCAGTTGTAAATTAACTGTGAGATTTAGCAAAATTACGAGATAGGATGGCGAGGTTGATTTGAGGAACTTTATGATTTACTTCATGTGTTAAGGAGGAATTGCTAAATGTCCATGTTCTTCTTGAGTTATTATTGTGCTGTGTAAGGTATTGATTGTGCTTATTTTTTATTTAAAAGGGGGGGAATTAGGTTTTTCTTGTTATTTTAGCTGTCAAATGGATGTACTTAGCAAATTTCTTGCTTATATATAATTTTTTCCATGACAATGAAACTTGCTGTTAAATCCTTATGTGATATTATTCTTTAGCAGTTTTTCTTTTACATCGATGATGGAATTCTTATGGTTCCCTCCATTCCTTATGGTTCCATGATTTGTCGGGTAGATAGATGAGATATTCTTTTTTTAATTCCAAATTCAGCTGTTATTATTGATTCAGTTATCAGCCGTATAACATTTTTGTTTTAACAATTTCCACTTTAGAAGGATTAAGATTTAATAGCTGCTATTGAAGGCTTAAAATTTAAGCTTTTAATCCTAAGGTTTGTATTTACCTTTATGAGCAATACCTAACATATTGAGCTCCACCATATAAAAAAAAATTGTTTTTGCCACTATTATTTTTTTTATTTATATATTATAAATTTTTCCTAATGTTGTGTAACATACTTGTAAAATATTATATTATACTTATACAGTCAAAAGTCTTTAATCCAGACGTCCATAATCCGGAATGATCTATAACCCGGACCTCAAAGCCTTTCTGCGCATGCGCAAATGCGCATAATACGTTTACGCATGCACGTTTAATGTATAACAGAGAGTATAAGCTGAGCTAAAATTATCTAATTATCTATTTCAGTTAATGTTGCAGATTGTGTTGTTCCTTAATCTTTGAATTGGATCCGGCTTATTATTTTTCACAGACTGTTAGAGCAATTTTATAAAAGTAAGATTGAACTTTCGATTACGTCAAAAAGAATTTCCGATTCTGGAGCTGCCAAAAGATCTACAAAGCGAAAGCATGTTTCGATGTCCATCAAACAAAAAGTGGAATTGCTGCAAAAAATGGATAAAGGCATATCCTTTGTTTCTCTAACCATTCCGAAATCTGTTTATCAATTTCGCGCTGCTCTGCGGGGGGGGGAGGGGGGTGGAATGTCACGACCCTCAATGAACTGGAAGTTGATCTGTCAGTACTATCCTTATCTTCAGGGTAGATGTTTTTATTTTATTCGGCTTATAATTCCTTACTAAATGTAGCATTTCATCTCAACGTACTTCGTATTTGATATGATTTAAATCAAATTTCTCGTCATTATAAGTATCACGAATACACATCAAATAGTTTTCTGGTTGCAGTTTTCTAATTTCGACTATGCGTAATGTATGCTTTACGCATGCGTGCATTGAAAGAAATGTTTAATAAAGTAAACAAATAAATATTAAGCTTTTTTTTTGTAAATTTTGATAACCTTTAGATCATAATTGCTCTTTATTTCATAAATTACTGTTTCATATTTTTAATTTTATAATTTCTGCATGCATCTTACCAGACTTAAATTGATGATCTATAATCCGGAAAAACCGATAATCCGGAATCGCCGAAGTCCCGACGAGTCCGGATTAAAGACTTTTGACTGTATCTGTTTTTTTGACCATAATTATTGTTTATCTTTTGGATACGCAAGGCCCATATGGACAAAAAGATTCTATTATGTTTAACAAAGTTTTACGTAACCATTGGGCCACTTAAAACCATTACTTCATTCAGTTATACATAGAATTTATTTCCTTTAGGATACATGTGGCCAAATCTGTCAGAATATCCAAACTAATACAAGTGGCCTGTTAGGCTAATGTATGTTGTATGCATTTGGGTACAAACGGTGCTTGATATGTTAAAGCATGTAATTTCCATGTTATATCTATGTAGTTGAAGAAGTTACACATACATCTGTGTAGCTGTCTTTAAGCTGCACTGTACCTTAACATTTATATACATATGAGACCTTAACATTTATAAATGTTAAGGTTTTGTAATGCATTGTCCTTTTTTTAAAGACTTGTTTCTTAATTGCTACAATAAAGCATTATAAATTGTGTTTTATAAATTTTAAATATGTATATATTTTAGGAGGTGTTTTTTTGAATACTGTAATCATAAGTTTCGTTCTACAATTGGGAAAGCCAAAATGATAAAGCATGAAGACAGAGTTCTAATAGCTTTTTCAGGTGGGCGGAAATCAACTGCTCTCTTGAACTTGACTCATCAGGTACTTTTTAGTTTAAATATACAGAATTCATTGATTAAGTATTTAAATCCTTACTTTAATAAATCCAGTACTGAATATGAAATCGTGTTTCTTTATAGATTTTCATATTTAATTTCTTATTTTTATTCTTGCAGCATTTTTGCTTTTATTCATATATTATGCAGTGATTCTAAGAATAAAGTGTGCGTTTTTCATTTCTGACTGCTTTATTAGCAGTCACAGAGTTGCCAACTCTCCTGATTTAGGCAGGAGATTCCCAATTTTTGACTGCTCTCCCGCCAACCCGATTTACAATATATTTCTCCTGACTTTTTCTTATTCTTAAAATTTCTCACGATTTTTATGGAACTTGGCTTAATACTTCATTATATGAATAAAAAAAAAGTGATTTTGGATGTCTGAAAGCAATTGAATTTTATCTAGATTATATCTAAAACAAAACCTCGTGAATCAGATGAGAATTTCTGCTTTGTGAGTGAGAGTGTACGTATCCAGAAACGTTGTTCTCCAGTTCTCTAATGGGCTTTGAGCTCCACTGCGTGTCATCTGACATATATCAGCCAATGAGCACAAAGCAAGCTCAAGGCTGTTATTTGTATGTTCTTTAGTTATTTCATTTACCTTGTCCTGAGTTGTTTGAGTACACGTGCCTTCTGGAATTAGTTTTAGAATATGTCATCTTTAGTTATGTCTGCGAGAAAGGTGAAATACTGGTGTACATTTCAAAAATTGTACACAGTTGACTTTCCTTCCATTATTTCCTCAAGAAAATGTAATAAATTTCCGATGTGTACCGTCTGTCGATGCGATTTTTCGATTTCGTGTGGTGGAAGGCGGATGTTCTCAAACATGTGCGTACACAAAAACACAAGGACAACTTGAGTTGTTTTGAAAAAAAAGAAAAATGAAATTTTTCTTCGGAGACAAAGGACCAAAAAGTTATTAATGCAGAATATCTGTTCTCTGCCTTTTTATTGGAGCACAACCTGCCACTGAATGCATCGGATCACGCTCAGAAAAATGTTTCCCGGTAGTGAAATCGCTAAGAAATACTCAAGTGCAAGGACCAAAACAGGTGCAATTGTTAAAGAAATGGGTTTGAAAAATAAATCTTCAGTTATTGATTGCATTAAAACAGCTCTGTTCTGCCTCTTTACGGACGGAAGCAATAATACTGATTCAAAACTGTATCCAATTGTTGTTTCTTTTTTTAATCCAGTCTTCAGAAAGTTTACTTCCTGTCCCCACTTTAGAAGGACATTTGACAGGCTTTAATATAGCATAGCTAATTATTAAAGCAGTAAAAGAAAATGCAGTCCCTCTGGATAATTTTCTTAGCACTTGGTGCCGATAATGCACCAGTAATGATAGACTTGACTGTTGTTGCAGGCATCTTAAGAAAGGAAAATTCAGATTTGCAGATTATGAGGCACACCTGTCACCTCTTAAATTTAACAGCTAAAAAAGGAGCAGTTTCTTTACCAATAAATGTGGATGAACACATTGTTGATTTTTATTATTATCTTGAAAGTAGTTCTAAAAGGAAGGAAAGATTGAAACAGTTCCAACACCTGCATAACTAATATTAGTGATGACGTATTAGAAAAACTTTTATTAGTGAAAGCAGGCCTACGTGGCGATTGCTATGAACAAAATTATGAAGTTTCTTTTTTAACGAAAGCAAAATCTGCTACTTACTACTTAATTGCAGATTACATTTGTACGAATCATAACATTTGTACGAAAACTGATTAAAGTGTCTTTTCTCTCTCCCTTAAACGATGCAAGTAATATAAATGTTTTTATGTGTAAGGTATTTTTGTGTTGCTTGCATTTAAGAATTAGTAGAGTAACTATTTATTTAAAGTTAATTCATATAAAACTATTTTTTAAATTAACAGTTTTTAAATTAAAAACTCCGATTTGAGTCATGGTGGCTTAGAAAAATGAAATTTGAAATTACTTTTTCATTTCCATTGCAAATAGTTTAAATATACTTCTTATAATTAATAGGTCAATGTTCCTTCTAACCTTCTTCGGGAACATGCAAGGACCTGACTCGGAACAGAGAGCTTACTAAAGCTATGTTCAATAACTGTGGGAAGTAGACAGGATACACAAGAAGGGTATACAAAACCCTTTATTTTTCTCTATTTACAATAACTTCCGTACTTCGGAATACAAGACCCACTACTTGGGGTCTAACGTAAAAGTAAATATAAAAATAAAACTAAACTCTAATTTAACTTTAGAATAATAAACGTGGAAGATTGGCCTTATATTAACAGGAAGCCGTATGTAGTACAGAGAACTGTGAACACTACAATACGTTTAAAAATTTATCAAGAGGATTAAAACCTCTGGCCTGGAAGGCAACCAGCAACTGAGTAAAACTTCTAAGGTAAGCGGCCTGCTTCGACTCACTGCTTCCTCTCTCTCGCTTGGCAAAAAGCCACAACTTAAATACTTGGCGTTCGCCAGACAAACTTTGCATAAAAAACCTTAACGCTTATAATTCTGGCCGGAAGTAGAAAATAAGAAGTGATAGTAAAGATTTAAAATAAAATAAACGTTAGTAAAACTTAAGATCCTTACATACTTCCCGCCAGAGTTAATTAGTTTGAAACTGAGGTCTAAAACGACCTTGTTGAAAACTTTTAGCTCTAGAATCTAACGCGAGGCCAATCTTTTACAAACATTTTTCGCTAGAAACTAGAAATTTAAAAGAAAGAAATTTGTTTTTACAATAGCAGCTCCCAGGATACAACAATTTTTTTCATCTGTACTGCATCTAAACAGGAGCTTTTATTCAAATCTGGTTCCTTCCAGAGATCTGGAAGGAAAACTAGTTTAATGAAATGTTACACAATGAAATGGCAAGTAACATGTATAATTATATTTCTCTTAACATTCTTATTTCATTCATGACTATTTTAATTATCTCTCCCCGTGCTCTCTGACATGTGTGTTGTAAAAGAACACCAAACACGAATGTGTTTATGTCTACGTGTTCAACACTTCCTCCTACAATCAAAACACTAACGTGTTAAAATTCAACATAACAAGACCTCTTAACACACCCTAATTTCAACTCTAAACCCTGAGGTACTATTCTGAAAGTGGCTAACTCTGAAGTGTAGCGTCAGAGAGCCTAACTACATTCATTCAACCTTTAACACATATTCACCATGATTTAGTCTTTTTACAGTCACACGAATAAAAAAATTTTTAACATTACTTTCACTTTTACCATATCACGGTATTTCTTAACATTTAAAATAACAGTTCACATTGTATATAAGAACATATTCAACATGCCGTTAATTTTACACATTTGAAAACATACATTAGTAGTACATTGTTAACTTCTATTCTTTTCAAAGCAAGTGCCAATTCTTTCTACATTGAAATACTACATTTCAAAAAGTCTTTCAGACTAAAACTTCTTTCTTGCCTAGAATGTTTTAAATAAAATTTATACAATAACTTTTTACAATATTTAAGTCTTTACACAACGCTATTATACATCAACTTTAGTTTTACGCGCGAGTAATTGAAAAACATAATACCAAAATCGGTAACAACTCATTTCTCGCCCTTTTGGCGATAAAGGTAGACCTCGCATGAGGTAAAACTTCTTGAAATCTGCCACTTGCAGTAAGAATGAAAGATTAACTTAAGTTTGCAAAGTAACATAAAATTTTACTTATCTTTGTGATATTCGGACATTCCTTTTCTGGGCCCAGTCCTTTAAAGGTATTGCAGATAGTCTCGTTTGATTTATCCTCCTTCTTGTACGGGCTCGCCCTTCAGTGCCTTCCTCTAGAAGCTTTCCTTTTTTCACCAGTTCGGTCACCCTTGAATACCTTCTTTTTCGCCTCTGCCTTGTGGTCTTGGCCGTTTGATGGCAGCTGGTCTTGGCGGAACCGGGAAACTTCTTTCGTGTTCCTGCTTGGACCTCGTTGCTGGCCGTTCAAATTTTCCTTGTAACTTTTCCTCCGCCGCTGGATGGCCCTTCCGCAGTTCGGCGACATTTGCTGCGGAGAGTCCTGTCGGATGAGTAGATCTTCCGTTTTTTAGAGCCGGGTTATAGTTGCCGTCATTTCTCCTGGCTCTCTTTGCATACGTCGTCCTTCTCCCTTCTTCATTCTGGGGGTGTTCGTGAACTCTCTTTTCTGGACGGTGGAACGGCTTCTTTTTCTTGTTACCTTCAATTTTTCCGCGCGGGGAAATTTTCTTTTCACTTGCTCCTGCCTCTTAATGGCTTGCCCTTGTACTTGTCGTTTTTCCACCTCTGGAGCTTGTGCCTGCGGTGTCTGCCGTGCCGGATCCTGCAAAAGATCTGAAAATATTTGCATTTTATTACGATCATAGTAGGGTTTGATTTGATCAATGTTTGCGGAGCAGGTTTCACCATTTCTGGCTTTTAACACTACTACAGCGTGAGTTATTTTTTCTATAACATATGGTCCTTCAAATCGTGGAAAAAATTTGGCAGTTTTATCTTCTGGTGCTGAAGAAAGTGAATGCTTAATTTTTAAAACTTCATCCCCTACTTTATAAGTTACTCCCCGTCGTTTCAAGTCATAATACAGCTTTTGTTTTCTCTGTGCTACTTCAGTATTCTTTTTTGCTTCTTTAATTAGTTTTTCTATATCACCCATTTTAAATTCTGGGGCTCTTTGTTGCACATAAAATAATTTATCTAACGGCGTTATAATCTTTCTGCCTAAAAATAACTCAGCAGGAGTTTTGCCCGTTGTATCATGTTTTGCGGTCCTAAGGGCGAAAGCAAATTCATTGACATAGTTATCCCAGCTTTTATGAAAATTTTTAACATAACTACGGATAATTTTCACTATATTTCTATTGACCCGTTCCGCTATATTTGATTGCGGCCGATACGGGACCATTTTTAAATGACGTATGCCCAGTTTTTGGCACATGTCTTCAAATATATTACTTACAAATTGAGGACCATTATCCGATATAACTTTTAG